TGTCTATAGCCAGGTATCCCTTTTACATTTGGGTGGAGTGAGGAAATTCGGGTAAAGTGTCTTTCCCGATGACAAACGTCGAGTTGGCCAGGATTCGAACTCACAACCTTTCGGTTTATAGTCCGGCACCTTAACCACTAGACTACCGAGTTTTTGCAGAGTAAAAATGAGGTCTACCAAGTATACATATATATTATCATTTTCTAGACCAAACTGTGATTTACGCTAACTTTGACAATTTTAAGGTGGTGGCGCGCCGGGTGCGCCCCACTTAAATCCGCCACTGATTATCCAGTTTTCATCAATATTTCTATTATTTAACTGTCGATAGGTGACTTCCATATAATTCTTATGATCAGTTGTGATTACTTAAAATGTGAAATCTTTGAATTTGTGCACATTGTTGAATGCAAGAACAACAACAAAAATACATAACTACATGTATTATCATATTTTCTTACAAAAATGTACTCACAGGATGGGAAATATGGATACTAAATAAGAATTTGATGTCCATATTAGCAATGAAAACACCCATCATGTAAATTTCAAACACACGTGCATATGTTATGTTTGTTCCTATATTTCTATTGCGTCGACTAGTTTCAAATGTTTAGAATTAGCATTAGGTATGCCTCGGGTAAGGCCTTGAGTGAATAAAAGTTTTTGATTTAAAGGGGAATATATAGCGCCTTTTCCCAGTATTTCGCCTATCTAAAGAACGAGTGCACTTATGGGCCCCGGTAAAATGCGAAAAAATAAACAATCTAATTAAGCAGAATTTTTCATCTCAAATCATTAATTGATATCTAAACCATACGATTCAACAAATTTTACCGCTGAAATCCACGAATATACAGAGAACAAAACTATACAATGCGGTAGGGGTCAGCCGACATTTGCCATTTTCTATAGTAAATCGAGAACAGTCATTCATTTCAAAGCCTTTGTTAACTATGAGCCTAACGTTGTGCAAACTTATGCGAATGACAAAAGACGCATAATACATTTATAAATTAAACTTGTGTGAAAGTATGAAATTTGCACACGATTAGGCTCGTATTTAAAATATTAAAAATGTATAAAAAGTACAATGTTTTTCCTATAGCAAGTGAGAGCTATTTACCTGTATGACCCATGTTGAACCCACCTGTGGAATAAATTATTTAAAATACTGATAGTCACGTGAGTTTTACCCAGGTAAACATTCCTCAAAAGTGCTCATTGAAAAACATAGGCAGGTTTTGTTTCCGTGAGTCAAAGTTGTGCCTCTTAGAGATGCATGTTTGTATGTATTGTTTTTTAGAACACGGGAGGGTAAAGAGAGCTTAGTGTCGTTCATAAAGTGTCAGACATTTAAAACCTTCATGCAAAACAAAGAAACAGGTATTGAAAGCCACTTATAATATTCTTTTTTAATTTCATATTCAATGAAACTTTTATTGTAATTTTTCAAATGCAAGAGTACAAAATTCTTAGTTTAATTATTATAGCTACAGGCAACTACACAGCTTCATTCAATGTTTCAAAACAGATTTGGCGCAAGAAATATCATTCCGAAAACGCGCCCGACTATGATCCACCATCAGATTGTTCAAGTATCAGTATTGCTTAAGTGCACTTGTCCTTTAAACTGAAAATACCAGATCAGTCTAAATGGAAAGTGCATATTTCTGTAAATAGATATAATTGACGCATTGAATAAAATGTGAAGTAAATAACTATTCGAAACTACGCCATACGGACTTCAACGAATGTATGATTGTGTCTTTGTGCATATATATATAAACACCCGTTTTAGAGTCTTACGAAAATCGAATGACATGGGATAAAGTGTATTCAATCGATTTAAAATACGTAGACCAAGTTTAACCAACACGAATTTTATATATATAACAATATAACATGATATTTAAAAAAAAAACATTCAAGATTTCTATGGTTAAACTTGTTTCAAATACTTAATTCTTGTAATTTTGTTTACCCGGGGTTCTCCGTCTACTGTTAATTCCACTGATTTTGTTTGAGATAAATATGACTATTTTTGGTAGGTACCAGAATAATATATATTTATCTATTGCCATGAATATTTAAACAGGTTTTTAAAGTACATCAAAGTGATTGATCTAAATAAATCTATTTATAAACAATAAAACTATGTGATGAGGTCATTTACCAAGAACCCCCTGCAATTCCAGAGGTGAATATGAACCTCAAGGATATAGGAAGATTTCTATAAATAATGCGTCATCTTCGATAAATAATAAGAAATATAAAAAAATTAAAATATTCATTTCAAAAGGATACAAATAATTATTTTTTCTAATTTTTACATACATGTATATAGTTGAAGGTTTGATCCAAATGAAGTGTCCTTGCAATATATCTCCCATATATGTTAAATGCACGTAATTTTGAATATACTATTGAATGTCTTTTAAATTGTTCAACAAGCATTTAAATCAATATATTTCGTCACACTCCATCAGGCACCAGGAAAGGAATCCCATGCCTTGCATACGATCGTTCTGCAGATCGAATGTTTATTTTCTTTATAAGAAGTTAAATGTTTTGTAAGCCAAATATAGGTTTATCGTTATTTTTCACTTCCATCTTCGATTTTTTTTTTCGACGAGGGCTAATTTCCTTGTTTGTAAAGAAATTCTTCACCACAATCACTGCACAGGCATGTCAAGGAAGCATATCAGTCATTTTTCGGGAAATTTACACTTTTAAAAGAAAATTAAGTTTGAAAATTTATCAAAACCGTTGATGAACGTAAACTTTTATTATCTATATATTGCATAGAGATAAAAAAAAGTGTCGAAACCAACGACGTGCATTATCACCACGGCATCACGTGATTTCTATTATTAGTAAAATTTTCCTTAATAAAAAAGCTAGCTATTTATAAAGGCAAACTTTCCATTTGAACAAATCTTATGTTTTGAAACAAACAGCTTATTGTTGTTATGTTGCATTATATTTGTAACAAATGACAGAGTAAAGGCCGACCAGGATACGTATATAGCCGACTGTCTTCGAAAGAGAATATTAATGATGAAAATAAATTAGCATATCTGTTTTATTTACTGAACTCCATTTGAATTTCACAAAATATTCACGGTATTTCATGTGTTTAAACTCCATTTTACGTATCTTTGTACATGCGTTCTAAACCAACTTCTTTTTACACGACATGATCAATTCCCAAGTTACTTGATATACACATATGACGTTTTCAGTTGTAGATTTTGATAATATTTGTGAAGGGTTTTGCTTTCTAACATTTCTACTCTAAATAAAGTCATTTTTCTAAATTAAAGTTTTAATATTCATTAATACACAACAAGATTGCTACTTTTCCCAAGTATTAAGAGTAAAAGTAAAATTTGTGAGAATACAAGGATGAATTAATCAAACTCATCCAAAAATTTAATTTAATTAAAAGTTTCAATAACTCTAAGATGAACTAATTTTTTAAATATATTTTTGTGTGAAATGCTTTCAAAAATATAGAAGTCGTGATATTATATAGTATACAGAAAATATTAACTCAAATTATAGCAGAGCAAACACGGACGCGTGAAAACGATAGAGGAAGATCTGACGGGTTCCATAAAAGAAGTTACATTTTTTTCATTTTACCAGTAACACGTGATCTTGAATACTGTTGGTTATCTTCATATGTGTTATGTACCAGCCGTGAGTCCTTTATGGTAGAAATGAAATTGAGAGTTGATATATAATTTATAAAATTTTTCATGAATTTAACATTGTTGCTTTAGTAAAGGTAACAAATATGAAAAAGTCTTTTTTAAATTTATTCTAATCTTCCTTTTTTGAATTTAGAAACAGTAACCAGACATGAATTTTTCTCTAGTTTTTTTACTCTACAGTTCAACAGTTTAGGTAGAGCAAGGTAAGTTTACTTGGTTTTCCTAAGAGTATGATGTACAATGAGCAGATAGTCATAGTACTTGGATTTAGACCTGTTTAAAGGTATATACAAGTAAGTAATCATCTTGTGAGGCTAAGTCTGAACGACTTAAATTTTCTATTTATTTAAGCCAACAAAGCACGCACATTTTATCAAGGTAAAATTCGTAACAAGAGAAACGGGGAAGCATTTCAAGCATTTAAAAATCTTATTGCACAGCAACAGTCTTTATTTTCTCGGTTCAGTGATTTCAATAGCATTTAAAAAACAAGTTTGTGTTTGGAGGTAAACATTGAGATGGAGAATGCTGACGTGTGCTATACACGATACCATATTCTACTTTCAGAATGAAGGTAAGCGTATGCATGTTATTGGAGAAAATATTTGTTTTATACATGTTAAAATTTAAACGAACATCTGGTAGACTTTATCGGCATTCCTTTTATATCAGATACATCAGTAACATTTTGACAGTTTAACATTATTCAGCTTCAAATCTGAGCTGAGCATTTTGTAGATATCAACGTAAAACAAAACTTAAGGATACTGAAAGATCTTACATTAAATTTTTGTGTTACGTATAAGTTAAAATGCTTAATAAGTATTTGAAAATATATCTGTTTCAATAGGTGTTTTTATAGAATTTTTGCTAAATGAAATGAATAAAATCTATATAAAAACAAATAAGCATTGCCATTTAAGATGATAGACTTCAGGTTATTCATAAAGAGAAAGCAACAAAATTGAATATTATTATTAATAAACTGATATAAAAACAGCTTAATCAACGATCTTCTTGAAAAAGCACAACATTTCTCATGGCACTTATTTCCGTTTAATAGTTTTGTATTGTAAGTACTTCCGGAATGTTATTTTAAGAGAGCGTGATTTAAAGCGAAAATACAATTGGCATACAGTTGCAAATGTTGTGGAGAATATCTCAATCATGCTTGATTTGACAGCATCTTTAATCAATATGATAACCGTATTACAAGAATTACCTTTTTAAAAATATATATCCTTACAAAGAAACTATATTTTATTTCCATTTAGATAAACATGCCGATGTAACATACATGTATACCACAGGGCTGTTTGATTGACAGAATGAATCATATCGTTTAAAAAGGCAGAGAATGCGTCAATAAAAAAGGCGATCTAAAAAGTGTTTTAAAGCCACTGGAATAAAGATTACCACATAGTATCAGGTCAGCCCCCACCCCCTAAATGATGTATAAAATTTGATATGAATAGTAGGAGTTTATATTTCAAGGAGAATATTTTGACATATATATTTTTGATTTCTTGTACTGTGTAATCAATTATAATTCAATGAGTGAAAAATTCTCGAGAGGGGCGTTAAACAATATAAAAACAAACAAAACCAGTAAGATGTACGGGTAATCGTTTCACACTGAATCATGTATGTATTATTATACTAACCAAATTAAAAGGAAAGATAGTGCTTTTTGTGATAATTGATGTCTTGATTGTCTTTTCTAAAATAGGTGAACTATAATGATAGATAAAATATAGACTTGTAATTATTCCAAAAACGTCACAGAAATAATAGCTGAATGTCATTTGAAAGTCTTCTTATTTTTATATTCCTTCAAGTTAGTAAAAGATGAAAAAAAGTTGCACTTACTTTTGTCATACTTAACACTACAATAATATGATTTCCCGTATGAAGAAAATGGGTGTTATTTTCTTAATTCTTTTGTATTTTAATGTTGCTCTATCTTATCAGTAGAAGTAATTCACATTAATAATAAAGGAATATTCATATTTATTAGACTAATAAAGTAATGTATTCTTTCAGGGTGTCTGCACTTAATATTATAACACGCATAAATTGTTATTAAAAGACGAGAGAGCTATCTGATATGCAGGAATAATATTGTTTCGATACAGTCATGTATAATTTAGATTTCTGTAAATATTAAGGTCCAAGGCTAGTCGTTATTATTTGTGGGGAACCAATTTGTGCGATTTTTGTGAGACCCTTTCCCATAGAAATAACATTCCATCAAACGGTTCATTTGTAAACTTCATTGACTAATTGAATGTACTGTATTAACAAATAAACCACAACAGTACGTCCAAACAAAGAAACAGAGTTTAGATATCTTGAGATATTTAAGGGGATGCATAGACCTATAGGTATTATCATATGTATGTAGAATACATCTCTCAGAGAGATGTACATGTAATTCGCTCTGTGATCGGAAGGTTGTTGGTTCAAACCGTAATCGAAACTGACCAAAGTCGTGAAAAAACTAAATTAGCAATTTTGCCTTCGCCAAGTCCTCGCGCACTTTGAAAAAGTTGCTGGACCTTCTGATGAGATCTAAAGTACCGAGGCCCTGTTTCACGACTAGTGTTGGCACGTTAAAGAGCCATTACTTCTTAATGGCTCAGCGTGAGTAAAAGTCAAAATATGAAGTTTTTCACCGGCATATGGTGACGGCTCTCTATGAATGATAATTGTTTGTTTAGGATGCAAAACAACATACAATGAACCAATCACAGATCGCGAAATATGTTATTATGTGACCTTATCAAATGGTACACTATCTTGAGCTCATAAAATGTTGCTACTTTCATCAATTTTTTTTATTATGTCTCTTGAAAATCAGACAAAACTAATGAAACCGCATTAATTAATAAAAATAGCATACATATCTAAAAACTACTTATTTTTATTTATACTATTTACACATAAATACATTTCTCTGAGAAGGTATGGATGGCTTTGTCGATTCATGTCCCCCAAATCTCACAGAAGTGATCAAAGCATCTTCAAGGCTGGGCTGCGGTGTGGACAAGTATGGGAACAATCAGTATATGTGTCTCCCCAACATAGAGAAGACCGGGCTGGTAGAGTTCTGCCATAATGGTATCATGGGCTTAATAGAAAAGGGTATGCGTTTTGAAATATGAACAATTTCTAAACCGAGTAAATATCACTTACAAACACGTTGATGAAACAAGAATATCATCAGTCTCCATTTCGTAAATTCTATGGACGATACAATGACCTTGTTAAATACAATATATCATTGAGACAAATGCTGACTCACGTTTTTCATACTTATTGTTAGTCCTTTATTCATATACATAATTGAAGACATATTTTCTGTTATTTTCCGATCATGACAAGAAGTACATGATCGGTGCGACCGGGGGTGCTAGCTCTTCCATGGCACCTGATCCAACCTCTGATGTTTTGGAGGTCCGTGTTTGCTCTGCTCTTATTTTATATTGTTTTATGGACTTTGAGATTGAATACTTTTCGTTATCTCCCTTCCCTTCTTACATTAAAATACATGTATAATTCGTTACATATATAGACGATAATTGTCTAATAATAATAATTTTAGGGTGGCTGTGCAAACTTTTTCTTTGAATGAAATACCCGTCCTTCTCTTTTAAATGCAGCAGAAGTATATTTTAGCATGATTCCATATTCAAAACAAAAAAAAAATTTAGGTGTAATTTTAACGATCACAGACCAGTTTCAAAATCTACATTACAATTTACATCCGTACATAAAGCATATGGGCTGTATGATCAGGTATACCGAATATTCAGAAGTAAAATTTAGTATAACAGTTAACAATATGTATAAAAGCTGTCAGCCAAAATACGTACAATTCAATAAAAGGATTTTAGCTATATGATAAAATGTATTGGTAACAAAGATCTCATTTAGTACTCATTAGAAATATAAATACAGTTAAACATGTACATTTTTTTGTTTTTTTTTAACGATATATATAACAAAGTGTGACTCACCTCAAAATCAAAAATAATCTAGGTTTTTACTATATAACTAATAATAAAAATGATTTCTTTAGTTGTTAGTATGTTTAATTCCAATATATTTTCATCTGAAATACATACAACATGGCAAATGTAGTACCAATTTTTGCTCTTGCTAAAGTTGACATTTTAAATATATGATTTGCTCTTGCTAAAGTTGAAATTTTAAATATATGATTTTTAAAACATTTTGAAGCGCTTATAAATGTATAATGTATTTTCTAGGTAATTGCTTAGAAACTACAGAGGGTAAACTGTTTCAAAGCAATTGTTCGGGCTTTGTAATGGGCTGCCCAGAAATTGGGTATCACAGCAGTAAAATATACAAATGTGAGTAAAGATTAAACCGCGGTAAACATTTAACCTGTAATTGTTTAAGAAAAATATTTATTTTATGCACATTTTATTTTTTTCCCCTTAATCTAGATCCTGCCTGTCAAAAGATTGACACGCAACTCCATTGTTACATCGCTGATAGTTCATGCCTGGACACAACTACATCTACCGAATCCCTCAATGTTGGAAAAATTATTGGGATTGTGACTGCTGTTAGCTTTACCCTCATCATTCTCACAGTCATAACCATTATTGTTGTTAGAAGAAGATTGGCAAACAGAAGGAAAAGAGGCCTAAATTCAGGTACATTTTGGCTTTTCTGTAGAAACACATGTTGCAAAAAATGATTATATATATATATTTTCTTTTTATTTTCCCCAACAAATGCGTTCAACAATTTGCTGTATATTTATTTTTAATTTGCAGATTGAAATAATATCGAATCAGTCAGAACTTAATATACATTTTGTTTGAAGGTGACGATGGTGAAGGTGATATTTTACTAATGAATGAAAATACCACAAAAGATTCAGGTAGTAAATTAAGGAATACTATAAATTATGTTTTTATTTTGCTAATTGTTCCGTTAATCCTATTAATGTAAATAACTCGAAACTATGAAACGAGAGATATGATACAGTATGTAATTATTAATTTTAGACTGCATTTTTCAATGCTACATTATACATATTGTACTCATGTTAATGACTGACATTGACGTCAGAATATTTTGTTAGTAAAAACATGAAGTGTGTGAGTGAATGCTCAGTAGTAACACCCCCACCCTGATGTATATATTCCCTCTCATATTGACAAACAGAAAATGAATTCCAACATACTGAATTTTTAAACAAAGAGTACATACTAAAATTTCAATCATCTGCGTTGAGCAGTCGATGGAAAAAAATGCGACCAAAATTTGTTACTGACGCATGCATAAACAGGAATTTGACATCGGATTTGAACAAAAATCCCTTCATATGGCATGCCTAATTATATACCGTGCTAAAATTTCAGACACTTAAGGGTAAAACAGTATACCCCTCTCCTTCAGAGAGGAGGTATAATTATTATGTAAGATAAGGATTTGTGGATTATTCAATGTAAAAAAGTATGTACTTTTGACAATGTGTTTTAACTATCAACTTAAATGATAAATTGATAAAAGTATCCTTATTTCAAAGTTGGTCAATATTTCAGAAACTGAAAACAAAACTGCATCAGAGCAAAGAACAAATAACAGCATGAACAATGACCACGTTCCTGACGCAAAGGTAGTAAATGAACTACCAAAGAAACCAAGTAAAAGTGTTGAAGAACAGGGTAAGATTTTATTATAGATTGGACTCTCCTCTGTATTCAAAGGCTCAGCATATTCGCTAATAAAATTGTTTCTTCGTTTGGTATTCTTTTAATTGGGTGAGCTTATATTAAATATTTTATATTATTTAAAGATCATTTGAATATATGAAGAAAATATTAAATATGAGAAGATAACGAATAGTATTCAATCTCTAATTTCCAATAAAATTTGGAGCAGAGTAAGCATGGCCCTCAAAATTAAAGATGGGATCAAGTACCATGTAGAGGTGATTATCCCCTGCCTACTGGTCACACCCGCAATAATACATAGGACTGAAAGTTCAAAGATGCATTAACTCAACTACCTTCTTTATAGTCCCGCAGTGGTTAGAACGTCTTCTACAGATTTGTGGACGGGAGTAATTGAGGAGTTTATCCTTACTTTGCCCGTTTGAATCCAATTGCGGACGTTGAGTCGCTCCGTCTTTCGGATGAGACAGTTAAACCGAGATCACGTGTTGCAGTAGATGCTGGCGCCCAAAAATTCTTCACTATTCAGTAGCCTCTAGTGCGGAGTATACTAGGCATAAATTTGCAGCCCTCCACCATATATGTGTAAAAATTCTCTTGAGGGACGTTAAACATCAAAAAACAAAACGAGAGCTTCATGAGCCCATGCACATACCATCCAAATTCTGTACTTTTGTATATGTCATTTGGAGGAATTGAAACTTAGTTTTGAATCTATCTGAAACCACCTGGGAGTGTTCGGAGATACAGTGTATAAAACCAATTTATTGAACAAACTTGATGTTAAAAGCGATTCCGTACTTATGTTCTTGGCGCCGGAGATTTTGAATCAAAGGGATCAAGCCAAAAGAATGATATATCAGGATTCTTTTAAGAATTGATAGAATTAACATATAATTGCTGCCCAGATTGATATACAAATTTTGACAATTTTGTAAGTGTATCTAAATGATATAAATAATATGAGTGAAAAGATCGCGGGAGGGACGTTAAACAACAGATAATCAACCAATCAATCAATTTTTACCGGTATAATCATTTTTAATAGTACAGGTTTTATATCAGGAATGTGTCCTTTAAATGTTAACAGTTACAATGTATACATAATTATATCATTTGATGAACTAATAAAGAAAACAGAGTTTTCTGAAATATATTTTCAAATTACTGCTTGCTTTTTATTTTTACAACAGGTTTAATCACATTAGCATAGCTATTTGAAAATAATTTGAAAGTCATCTGTTAGAAACAGGAGCTTTATCATTTGGAAATCATTTGGAAGACATTGTTTTAGAGTTTCCGTCCTTGTTTTTTGTTCCCGATTTGGATATTCCCAATAGACGTTTGGTTCTGAATATTATATCTCCAATTTAAAGGCTTCCAAGTGCTTCAAATATATTAATTCCAAATGACTTCCAAATAAAGATCGACAAGGACTGAACGTCTACACATGAAGCCTTTTAGGCTATTCTTATTCTTATACGTCTTAAAAAAAATTGTTTTAATAAGGTGCTGTGTATATTTTTTTTTATTATAGAAAAATGAAATTTTCTTAGCAAAATCCATATACATGTAATTAAGTTACATTCATTAAAAATCTGCCTGTTACTTGATGAAATAATATTAACCCTTTTAAGACGGCAGTCATTATAGATATGTTTTTGACAGCTTATACCACCAGTGTGTGGTATTAGAAGTAAATAATTCTTAGTAATATTCTTTTCAAAAAACCTTGATTTTTTTTTGCTAGATAAATCTTATCAATCTGTGGGTGATTACAGCGTATGGAAAACAAAAATTTCAGGTACGTGATTTGAACATTGATTTCAAACTTTCAGTTGGTCAAATTTTCCCAATCCAATCCTTTTTTTATAAATGGAAGGTATTT